CTCATGCTCAAGCACAGATTTTGTGTTCAATCAAACTTTTTTATAATTCACCTAAATCATATAAAATCATACAAATGTCAAATTTTAACCTTGAATATGGCTTTGACTTGAAGGCCTTTCAAACTTGTTTTTAAATATTCGGCAATATAAGCCTTGTTGGTTAATTCTAACTTAAGCAAGATATAAAGCTTGAGTATCAAATTGAAGCTTGAGCATGAGAATGGTTTCATGAATACGGGGCCTTGTCTTAATGTTTTTGAACATATTAAAGAGTCTCCATGTAACTTTTGCCCTTTTTAAATATCTTATCCCAGTGTCATGGAATATGAAGTAAGAATATGTTATCATGTCCGTTTTTATTTGCTGTTTTATTGGTTTTGTCAACAAATAAAATAACAATAGGGATTGATGACTTGCTTCAGTCCGATACTTTATTTTGATACTTATGAATTCATATGCAACAAGTTAGATTATTCTACGATTCTTCAGCTTTTGTCTTTGTCATACTGCTTGAGTTATATTACACTACGTACGTCACCACCAGGACGCTTCACACTGGTCATTTGTCTGATGAAGATGATCGTGTAGTCATCGAAACGTATCGCAATTGTAGCGGGGACCGATAACTGAAGTGGTCATAGGAGATTTACATAGATTTTCAGCGGTACAGGCAACTGGAACAGGTAGCATGTGTGTGTGTGTGTGTGTGTGTGTGTGTGTGTGTGTGTGTGTGTGTGTGTGTGTGTGTGTGTGTGTGTGTGTGTGTGTGTGTGTGTGTGTGTGTGTGTGTGTGTGTGTGCGTGTGCGTGTGCGTGTGCGTGTGTGTGTGTGTGTGTGCGTGAGCGTGTGCGTGTGCGTGCATCAACCCGATTATTAACAGAAGAAAGCATGGTCAGTGTGGTTCTGACATTTATTCTCATTTTACCAGAAACGCGAATCAGTATGTCATATAAAATGCCGTAATGAACTCTTATAATGGTTTATTTTTAGCTCTGCTATTGACTGACGGAATGCAATTCATTTAGAAGTTAAAAAAAATCTATCATTTACTTACTTTTGCTGATCATTATTTACTGTAAAAGTAGAATCCGACACATCCATTCAGCACGACCAAATAAACTGTAGCTCCACATTGTATCGTGTATTATCTTCCTGTCTTTGTCTGTCTTATATTAGTATTTCTTTGTTAACTTGATTACGTTGTAAGTGTAAATGCCTTATCTTATATATGTACGTCATTGTCTGTATAGTATGGCATGCATACGAATGTATTGTACTGTGGTATATCTATGGGGCGTAGGGCCCTCAGGATACAGTTAAATTGAATTAGTCCTTATCAGACAAGTCCTCAAATACAACGCAATGTGGCCTTAGGATATTTTTTGGCAATTCGAACGTGTACAGCTATTCGATGCCGGATCGCAAAGTGTTGTATTTCTTTAAATTATTACTTCTAACCAAGACTGAGTGAAGACGTCATTTTACAGGTAAGTCTGCCTTTATGATTTCTTTTCATCCTCAAAGTATTTTTTGGGGTTTTTCATACATATCTGGCCATATATTATAATTGCCTAGAACATGGATAATTCCAAATTGGGACATGTAAATGTTCTCGTTTATTACGCAGTTTAGCGAAGAAGAAAAAGACTGTCCCAGTCATTTGCAATGTAAGTAAAGAACGAGATACGCTGAAATGTAGAACAGTCAGTTGTATCTCTACATTGCGGATGCTTCTGGAACGAAAAGGCCAAAGGACAAAGGTCAGCAGCGGCGTAACCATTCTTGATAGTATTTCTGATATTACTGCTGTAGATCAAAATATGAATAAACTTATCATCAATTTCTTATGTCGTTAAGGGCGTTTAATTTTGTTTTATAAATGGACATAACCGTCACGTAAATTTAGATGGTAGGTGTATGTAAATGTTTGCAGTTAAGAAGTGTAGATCTTGTCGCAATATGAAGAAGAGACAAAGAGATTTGTACATATTGTAGCGCAATAGGACACAGACAGATCGCATGAATTCCGAACCCCACAGTTCATAAGTACTTATGTTTCTCTCTTCAGCTGACTTGCCAGAAAAAAAGTCATGACTAATTTAGAAATTTTTGCTTTCTGGCCTTTTATCTTTGGATATGGACTTGAAAAGTCATATATAGTCATATATTTTATATGAATTGTTTCATATATTTTCCAATGTGAAATGATTATTAAATTGATAATTCACCGCGCGAAGAGTTTTCGGTTGTTAATCTTAAAGTTTTAATTGCTACAGTAATAATCAATTGTTCTGTTCAAATGTATTTTCAAATTCTAGATCTTCGCCCAGTTTTATTTAGTGTAAACCAAATCCAGTGGTGTGTATATCATACGCCCCTTGACCAAATCAGATTATTATTCGGGATATTGACTGTAGAAATATGTTGGCCTGAATCGTAACACTGTGATATGTATAATAATCATTGAATGTGGTTATTTCTTGTTTGTGGTTTTGAGCATGGGTATTTGTGCTATTAGAAATAAGTCCGACATGTTATGTACCGTATACTTAGGGATTAGTAGATGTGTAACCTCTTTGTAGGCCACAACAGATACCTATATAACCATGGCTGCACGGATTTTCGAGTCCAAGTCTGATAAAATCACTCATTCCTGCGTGACCCTAATTCTACATTTCCGCTAACGTGCCTACGATTCAATAAGCGCTAAGGAGACATAACCCATGGTATCCCGTAGAAATAAATATGTAGTTGGAAATGGACTCAATAGCTTCAAAATCTCATCATATTTAAGTTTCTTCGTGAAAACATTACTACGTAATTTGTTATTTCAAACACAAATAACCTCTCGACGAGTTGGTTTTAATAGTTGAATTGAATTTTAAACGAACCTGTGCACTATGTATGCAAATGAATGTATACCCCACGAACGTCTTTATGGAACCCATATAAAAATACCCAAAAGGGGGATAGTGGGCGTGCCTCTCCCGTAAAAGGAAGCCTTCAAACGTCACTACTTTCTTAGATAAAAGAAACTTAGATACAGTAGGGCTAAATAATGAATTAAACTTCACCCTACAACAGCGTTGCCTTAGTCCTCTCGTCAGTGATATTAAGGGACTAACATTATAAAGATGAAACTAAGTCAAAGACACTGGACGATTGTCCCTAGTGTTAAACTTCCAATGTAAATAATAGACAGTAATGTGTGATAACATCGACATAATGGACAGTAGTTTGTGATAATATCGACATAATGGACACAAGCTTGTGATAACATCGACATAATGGACAGTAGTTTGTGATAATATCGACATAATGGACACAAGCTTGTGATAACATCGACATAATGGACAGTAGTTTGTGACAATATCGAAATAATGGACACAAGCTTGTGATAACATCGACATAATGGACAGTAGTTTGTGATAATATCGAAATAATGGACACAAGCTTGTGATAACATCGACATAATGGAGAGTAGTTTGTGATGATATCGAAATAATGGACACTAGCTTGTGATAACATCGACATAATGGACAGTAGTTTGTGATAATATCGAAATAATGGACACAAGCTTGTGATAACATCGACATAATGGACAGTAGTTTGTGATAATATCGACATAATGGACACAAGCTTGTGATAACATCGACATAATGGACAGTAGTTTGTGATAATATCGAAATAATGGACACAAGCTTGTGATAACATCGACATAATGGACAGTAGTTTGTGATAATATCGAAATAATGGACACTAGCTTGTGATAACATCGACATAATGGACAGTAGTTTGTGATAATATCGAAATAATGGACACTAGCTTGTGATAACATCGACATAATGGACAGTAGTTTGCGATAATATCGAAATAATGGACACAAGCTTGTGATAACATCGACATAATGGACAGTAGTTTTTTGATAATATCGAAATAATGGACACAAGCTTGTGATAACATCGACATAATGGACAGTTGTGTTAAACATAATTATATCTCAGAGAAATCCTACCTGTTGGTACCTGTTCATATTTATTTCATCAATTGTCTAAATTCAGACTCAACGCGTTCCGCTAATATAAATTCTTAGTAAGTATACAACGATTGTAAGTTCCAACATCAGACGACATAGGCAGCATATCTTAAGCATCTCCCGTATATTTGTATACTTGCTTACTTAAATTTTAAACACTATCTAAATTACGTAACACATATGACAACGAACCGATGGATATACATCTCAATAACAAAAAGCAATTTCAAATCATCATGTTGGTGAACAACACATCTTCAGAACTTTACCATCAACAGAGCTAAGAATTGTCATCATTACTGTTAATTTTTTTTTACCATCTTCTCGTTTTCAACCACTATATATTCCAGAGAGCTAAACTCATGTCAAACCCAAGCATACCGGTCAGTTACCACTAATTGTGAATTGTAGTTTTAATCATGCAACCGCAGGTAAAAGTCATTATATTAATCACGTTTACACCTTTGTATATTCAATTTCCTACACTATAAGTATGTATGTCAATGATAGATTTTACTTGATTGCAGATGTTTAACATTGTTTGTTTTTGTTCCATGCTCTTCTTTCGTCTGTCCACCTGATACAATCGCCACATCGTACATGTTTGCTTTCGTTAGGAGTGACGAACACAGCGCCCACATCTCAGAGACAATGGTGATGGGACTTCGTTATACATTGCATACTGTTTATTCTGGCACTCAAGATTTCGTAAAGAATTTTACACGAAAACCGATATTACTATTCATAGTGTTGGCCTTCATTCTGATCACATTTGCTGCCGTACATCGAGGTAAATATTTACTTTTCAAAAAGTATAAGAGAACAAGAAATCATAACGTTACTAAAATTCTTAGATGAATTTATTGCAATGGCTTTTAATAATACTTTTAGTAACTTCGACAAAAAATGTTTAACACATGTATCTTAATATCTAGTACCAAGTACTTTATCTGTCTTCATTAATATGATATTTTCAAACCCTGGGTTTCACATTCATCAAGGTAACGCTATCGAACATCTAGCCATTTTCAAAAATGTGTCTCAATGGACGAGACGTGCAGGATTCGGGGCACATGGGGCTCAAGATGAACTTACAAGTAGTGCAGCAACCGAGCAATCAACATCTACCGTGCCACCATTGATTCTGAGACGGGTAAGTCTACACATCATTTATATCGTTTTACCTGGTGGTTCCGCTGTTTTCTTTGTTCTCATTTGAGAACGTGGCATTACTTACTTGGATTGACCAAAAGTTACATGACTGCTATCAATGAAAAAATCAGAAGATGCTTAACCTTCCGGAACACCTGGTCTTATCACCCTTGTACTTTTTCACAAGTCTCCTTGTTTTTTTCTTTTGTTCGTATTTTTCATTGTTTCATTGAATTTGTGTTTGAATTTTTCTTGGTCATTACATTTGCACCTACATATACAGGCTAGATCGATTTCTCTCTTCTGCTTAATAGCAGATAAAATGTAAGCTGAGCGACGGTTAATTTGTTTGTCGTTCGCGGTGTACTGGGGGATTATGGGTCATATATTATAAATTATTTATAAACATGATCATGCCATATTTGTTCATATTTGCCCTTTTTATTTTGAGACTGATAGGGATAGAATGCATTCTATGCCGCCATCTTAGCTTTTGATTATGACAGACTGTTGTCGCTATTTCTAGAGAAGTACTGAATGGACCTTTCTCGAATTTATAGATTTCTCTGTTTTCCTTTTCCCCCTTTGTTGGAGCCCTTCCGATTCTTAGACTGATAAGACAAATACATTAGCTGAGAGGCGGCCATCTTGGATTTTGACAATGAAAGTTTGTTATCGCTTAGATTTCATAAGAATTTTCGAATGAATCTTCCACAAATTTAATATGAAGGTTTCCCCTTGGACCCTAATGCTGCTCTCAGTATTTTGCGACTGATAAGACAACCAAAATTGGCTGACAGGAAGTAATCTTTCTTTTCATCATTGTTTGATGGTTTTTGCTATTTCTCGAGAACTTGACTCGTTTTCTCAAATTTCAGTTTTAAGACTGATAAGAAATAATGATATTAATAAATGGCTGATATGCAGCCATCTTTAGTTGAAGTTGACCCATTATTTTTCTGTGAGACTCAGTTAAACTTTGTATCCCAATCTATCTTATTGTATATACTTCTACAAGAATTCCTGGGATAAAATACTAGATGTAGTTTACTTGAAATTCGTTTGCAGATATATTTTCCTTCAGTCTTGATCTAGATGAATATTACCGTATATCTTTGTTTCGTTTGTTTCAAAGAACTAACAGACAATGTAAAGCTGTCAACATCCCTCATAGATATCGTGTTCATGTCGATACAACGTTCTTGTTCAATGATTTTTGCTTTTTCGTCTCGTGGTATTAGATTACATATGTTGTTTCAGAATTTCCAGCGATATTATGACTTTGGTACGATTCACGAGAAGAGAAGAAAACATATAGAACGGGTATGTGACAAAAGTGAAGACCTATTTTATAGTAAGCCAAACCGACTTGTTGTGGGGAAAAGACTCTTGATGGACAGACGCCATCACCTTGTATATTGTGCCGTTCAAAAAACTGGTTCAACATTTCTAAAGACAATTTTACGTATTGTAAGCGAACAAGGGATGAAAAATGTTGACACACGATGGAAACCTGTTAATAACATAAACTTACTTGGAGACTTTACAAAACTTCACTATTTTTTAACAAGCTCATTTAAGATAATGTTTGTTCGTGAGCCTTACGGCAGACTTTTTTCTGGATATGTGGATAAACTTTTCACGGTAAACACTTTTTACTGGAAAATTACAGGAACGTACATAAAAAATGAAATTTTGAATCATGGAAATAAATCTCCAAGCACATGTGGACATGATATTACATTTCCCCAATTCATCAAATATGTTATTGAATCACAGAGAACTGGCAATCATGCTAATGGACACTTTACTCCTATATACGAACACTGTGGACCTTGTCAAATATCATACGACTTCATTGGAAAGATGGAAACCTTCGCGAACGATTCACTCATACTGCTGAATGCTTGGAACAAGAGATACGGTATCAATATCACATTTGATGATTTCGAGGCCGAGACGGCCTTACAGAGAGCTGTATCTCATACTGGTCGTCTTTACAGCATGCGCGAAAAACTCGAAAAATGTATGTCGTTTTATTCTGGTATGCAGCGAATATGGAGGGATTTACAAATTCGAGGTTTTTTACCGAAAAGTGCCAGTCTCCCGTTTACAGAATCAGAATCTGTAAATGTCGACATGTCACAACTTATAGACGCTTTAACAAAAGTTATGAAGGGAGTCACCGATCTAGCAGTTCTCCGTCAACAGAAGAGAGAGGCAATGATACAGGCTTACGGACAAGTTCCAATGAAGGACCTGATCAAACTTAGGGAAATTGTGCGTCCTGATTGTGAACTGTTCGGGTACGATGTCTCACCTGACTTCATCTTTAATCGTCGTCATAATTCTGGAAAGACGAATTCCTTCAATTATCTTTCGTAATTATCATCATATCATTAGGGGAAAAAGTGACTTGTTAATTCTGACACAGCTTACTCTAAAATAACACTATACTCAGTTTGTTTTTAGGAAGCAACAGTCAACCATATAGCCTATATTTGCATTACATACATTAATTAATAAAACACAAAAAAGAGAATGTGTTGCTGTTTTATTGATTAAAAAAGGGCGTTTGACTTCATCGACAGACAGAATATATGGTACAAAATGATAAAGGACGGCATTGTGGGTAAGATCCTAAATATATATTTTTATAAGATAATGTTAAGTTATGTGTATATATATCAATAATTGGTCTGATTTATTCACTTGTAATAATGCATTATTTTCAAGGTGAAATGTCATTGTTTTGTTTATATTTAGAGGACAATTTAATCAATCATATTTTTAATTCCAGTAGAATCGAAATTATACATATCCAGACGAAAATATTCGTGTATAAATGTATTTGATACGTTGCCAACGTTCGGTGTAATCAGTTTAATCTTTGGGAAAGTCCGTGCCAAATATAGCAGGAATCGTTATATGGCGCAAGGTGAGCCATCTATCATATTCTTGTATAACAATGATGGAACGAATTACTCGTTTTACTCGCTCCCGCTTCGGGTTGAACAAGCCACTTTTGTTGCCATTTTCGAGACGGGTTTGCGTTAGGCCAAAGTGTCCTTGTATTTACATATAAAATGTTGGTTGTTCTTGTAAGAATTCCTTACAATTGAACAACGGATGATTACTTCAGTTTAGTCAAACCAATTTGCAGCAACTGGAGCAGAACCCCTTTCACTGTCAGGTACACCGCCAAATCATTATCCGATATTATGCTGCTGTCGTTTTTGTTTTAATTACGCCGACGTATAAAATTTATCAAAATATCTCTGAAACTCTGACATACGCTGGATTATCGATCTTTATTTTGGAGGGGTAGGTAGGGGAGCGTATACTGCCAATACCTACCGTTTTATTAATCAGATAACCGTATATGTAATTGATCCAGAACAAACCTATAATAGATCTATATCTATACATGTACATAAATAATTGAAACCGACTTATATTGGTAAATACACAAATAACTGAACGTATTCTAGACGTCCACAGAACGTCCAGAAAGTGTATCTAAGCAGCCGTAAGTAGGCCTGTAATGTTATTTCAGAATATAAGCAATATATTCAGCAAGTGCAACTAGGGTCTGCAGTGATATTTCAGAATATTAACCATCTACTATGAACAATTAGGTATTGACCAGTGGCCAGTGGCATTCTGTCGTTGTTGATCTATTACACATGTACATGTATTAATTCATTCTCTGATTATATCAGTGATTACCTGAAGCCTATCTAAGCAGAGTATGAATTCAGTGTAACCTTATCTTGTTGTAAACAGCCGAATCTATTACCATTTATGTGTGCAAGTCCATGTCAATAACTGATGTATAAATCAATCAATGTTTACCTGTTACTAATGTGTATTGGTACTTCATCAGTTAATTAACATGGCTAGTTTAAAATACGACCACATTTCTAGCCAGTATGTATTGGTTCCTGAAGGGAAGACCGGAGGCCAGACAGGAGAGAGGCTAGTCTCCACAGGCGGGACCCTGCTCGTCCGGACTTTTACCCGAGCAAAACATCTCAACTCTAGTCTCAACTTATGAAAGTTAACACGTTTTTCATTTTAAAATGTTGTTTCAGAATATTAACCATAGTTTTAGCAGGTAGAACTAGGGCCTGTAATGTTCTTTCAGAATATTAACCGTAGTTTTAGCAGGTAGAACTAGGGCCTGTAATGTTATTTCAGAATATCTACCATAGATTCAGCAGATAGAACTAAGGCCTGTAATGTTCTTTCAGTATATCTACCATAGATTCAGCAGATAGAACTAGGGCCTGTAATGTTCTTTCAGAATATTAACCATAGTTTTAGCAGGTAGAACTAAGGCATGTAATGTTCTTTCAGTATATCTACCATAGATTTAGCAGGTAGAACTAGGGCCAGTAATGTTCTTTCAGAATATCTACCATAGATTCAGCAGATAGAACTAAGGCCTGTAATGTTATTTCAGAATATCTACCATAGATTCAGCAGATAGAACTAAGGCCTGTAATTTATTTCAGAATATCTACCATAGATTTAGCAGGTAGAACTAAGGCATGTAATGTTATTTCAGAATATCTACCATAGATTTAGCATGTAGAGCTAGGGCCTGTAATGTTATTTCAGAATATCTACCATAGATTCAGCAGGTAGAACTAGGGCCTGTAATGTTATTTCAGAATATCTACCATAGATTCAGCAGATAGAACTAGGGCCTGTAATGTTATTTCAGAATATCTACCATAGATTTAGCAGGTAGAACTAAGGCATGTAATGTTATTTCAGAATATCTACCATAGATTTAGCAGGTAGAACTAAGGCATGTAATGCTATTTCAGAATATCTACCATAGATTTAGCAGGTAGAACTAAGGCATGTAATGCTAGAATTTCAGAATATAGGGCTAATGTTAGAATAGAATATCTAACCATAGATTTAGCAGGTAGAACTAAGGCATGTAATGTTATTTCATAGATTCAGCAGATAGAACTAAGGCCTGTAATGTTATTTCAGAATATCTACCATAGATTTAGCATGTAGAGCTAGGGCCTGTAATGTTATTTCAGAATATTAACCATAGATTTAGCAGGTAGAACTAAGGCATGTAATGTTCTTTCAGAATATCTACCATAGATTTAGCAGGTAGAACTAGGGCCTGTAATATTATTTCATAATATCTACCATAGATTCAGCAGATAGAACTAAGGCCTGTAATGTTCTTTCAGAATATCTACCATAGATTTAGCAGGTAGAACTAAGGCATGTAATGCTATTTCAGAATATCTACCATAGATTCAGCAGATAGAACTAAGGCCTGTAATGTTCTTTCAGTATATCTACCATAGATTCAGCAGATAGAACTAGGGCCTGTAATGCTATTTCAGAATATCTACCATAGATTCAGCAGATAGAACTAAGGCCTGTAATGTTCTTTCAGTATATCTACCATAGATTCAGCAGATAGAACTAGGGCCTGTAATGTTATTTCAGAATATCTACCATAGATTTAGCAGGTAGAACTAGGGCCTGTAATGTTATTTCAGAATATCTACCATAGATTCAGCAGATAGAACTAAGGCCTGTAATGTTATTTCAGAATATCTACCATAGATTCAGCAGGTAGAACTAGGGCCTGTAATGTTATTTCAGAATATCTACCATAGATTTAGCAGGTAGAACTAAGTAATGATCTACCATAGATTTAGCAGGTAGAACTAAGGCATGTAATGCTATTTCAGAATATTAACCATAGATTTAGCAGGTAGAACTAAGGCATGTAATGTTATTTCAGAATATCTACCATAGATTTAGCAGGTAGAACTAAGGCATGTAATGGTATTTCAGAATATTAACCATAGATTTAGCAGGTAGAACTAAGGCATGTAATGCTATTTCAGAATATTAACCATAGATTTAGCAGGTAGTACTAAGACATGTAATGCTATTTCAGAATATCTACCATATATTTAGCAGGTAGAACTAAGGCCTGTAAGGTACGTAATTGCAGAGACGTATATAACATGTGATATATACGTCTCTGGTAATTGTTACAGGTTGCCTGCCATATATTCTGCCGGTCGGACTTTTTTCTTCCGTGAGGTATGAGTATGCTTCCCAACAATATCACCAAAAAGTTCAATACTTCTCCAAGGTTATCTTTGCCGTCGACGACATAAATATGGCCTGACACATCTAGTCTTGTTAGGCTAAACGTACTCAGTACGCATAGCCTATTGCGACGGCCTTTCAGACAAAATTTACCGATCCTGGCCTTCTCATTGGCTGAAATATCGAAAAGAGTTAGAGCTCTCTAGCGCCAATTTTCTGCGTAAATAATGCGGCGATTTTTCAAATCGCTATTTTAAAAGCATCCAAAATTAGTTTTATTTTTGATAAGAATACGATTACTATATATTTCAGTGTGGTTGAACTATTGATAAAATTTTAACAATATATTTTACGGAATTCTCGACATGACGTAAGCGTACAGAACACTGTACGTGCGAGTTGGCGCCATGATAAGAAGCTAGTCTGGGGGCTTGGTTTGAATTATCAACTAACATCACTTATAAACAAACAAAAATTACAAACAGAACATCAATTTTGCTTTAATCCTTGTCGTTGTGGCAAGATCGTCTTAATATATAACATCACTTTACCTCATTAGACGTCACAAAATTGGATCGTTCGTCCTACGCGCACACCCGCCGATATGACGCTTTTTCAGGATTTTCACATCACCGCCATGACACTTTCTAAAGATAAAAAGTTTGCGCTTCGTAGGCAAGGTACATTTGGTGCTCATGATTTATGAATGATATATTTTTAATACTTTACTGATCATGATGTTGACTTTGTTATAACTTATATGTTTTGCCTTTTAGTTTTATTTGATGAAGGTTGATTGTGCTGATTTTTCAATGTTTGTTAATGTGTATCAAAGTTCCTTGAAATGAAAATATTCCTTCAAACAAAGCGCGTATAAAAAACCCCAAAATATTCATGTTTATAATTATCAATTAACTGAAACGAAATATTTCCATAACATATTTATTCATTTAGCGTGTCATGGTGACATTATCTAATGCATTGGAGATCAGAAATAGTAGTAGCTATAGTGAAAATATTGTAAATTTTGTATATATATATGGAAGTCTGGTTTAATCTCATAGAACTATGCCTTTATAGACATAATTACTGGAAGAAAAGTCTAACCATGGTACTTCAAGGAAGATAGGCATGTAAATACATTTAATGTAATTACTTAAAATTTTATCTATCTGAAATGCTGTGTATACCTTATCTACTTTCCTCAACTACAAATATAATTATAATTAGTAAGGATTATTGCTTTGCAATACATTCAAAATAAAGAAGTAGATATAAAG